TAATATTTAGAAGTTTAAATCCAATTGAGATTTTACCTCAAATAGGAAAGGATCCCTATTCTTTTAAACTAATACTAATTCATATTATTTTAGAACTCTAAAAGAAATAATACACAAGATTCTTCACAATAAAAATAATTTTATATAATACAAATAGAATATAAAAACAAAAATATAACACGCAGAAGTTTTTTATGGACAAGAGAAGGCAATGTGTCAAAAAGGGCTCTATTGGCATGGGAGAAAGTCTGTCTCGCCAAATCAGCAGGGGGATTTAATATCAATAACATAACTATCTGGAACAAAGCTGCCATATGTAAACAGTACTGGAACCTTTGCAAAGAAAAGATGAAGCTGTGGATACAATGGATGCATAGCTACTACATCAAAGATAGGGACATATCGGAAGTCCAACTGAAACAAACATTATGGATGGTGAGCAAGATCATGAAAGCAAAGAAGACATGTATGGATGCAAGATTCAACTATGATGATATCACAAAGATGAACAAATGTTTGGTTAAACACATATATTACAGACTGCAAGGAAGATTTGACAAAGTAAGCTGGAGAAGAGTTATTTGTCATAATACAGGATGCCCCAGTTGGATTTTTGTATTAACTATGACAGCACATGACAAACTGTACACAAGAGACAAACTACAGAGATGGAGAATACAAGTTGATCAAGAATGTGTCTTATGCAAACGAGCTAGTGAAACCATTCAACATCTGTTTTTCGAATGTCCATATGCAAATGCATTGTGGAGTAAACTGTTAGTATGGCAAGGGATCAAAAGACCAGTGTATGGATGGGATGAAGAACTAAGATAGACTGAGAAGTGGACTAAGAGGAAAAATGCAGCAGCAGAATTATATAAAATGACATTAGCAGCAATTGTGTACTATGTGTGGCAAGAAAGAAATGTGCGAATTTTCCAAGCCAAGGCAAGAGGATGGGAGACAATATGCAAGCTGATAATACAGGAGATTCACTGTCGAAGTAATAAGTATATAGAGAAAATCCTACATAGTTTAGACAGGTATCCAATGTAATAGATAGGAAATGTGTAAATAATAGAAAGGTGGTAAGGGGGTGAAGCATAGGAAAGTAGGAAAATATGTAAGAATTTTTGATCTACTTATAAATATTTCCCTGGTAAATGAAAGTTTTAATTACCAAAAAAAAATATATACCAAAAAAAAAATACGCAAATGGTATTTTTTATATATACACAAGAACTTCATTTTCGTAGCTATACATATAAATCTGGTAATTAAGCATAAAAATTATATGCTTTATAATATTACGACAAATATTATATTTATGACACATGTCTTTATTTTTTATTATTACTAAATTATAATTAATTAATACATAATCTTACTTGAGTTTATCATTTAATTATAATAAATTTGTATAGTTTAGTCTTTATATATTGAATGATTTTTTTTTTCAATATATTGACCATGATTGAGGACTTTTATGTGGCCGTTTCCCCTATTGAGTTGGTTATATAGAATCAATATTCTTTATTTTCAGAACTCATATTTTACTTTTATAAATCAAAATAATTTTAAATAAAATATTTTTATAATTTTTAAAAAGCTTTTACTCATTTAGACAAGATACACGTGCAACGCACGTACCATTGACTAGTACTATATTAAAAGCACGAATACTTTTAGCGAAATGTCATTCGCCTTTTTTATCCTTTAAAAACATATTTTATATTGGACAAAATTGTAAAATCAAAAAAGTTTCCTTATATTTAGGAGTTCTAAATAAATAAAAAAATATAATATAATTTAGTGTTTGATATCTTCTCCTAATAAGGATATTATATATTAAGACGTAAAAGAACAAAAAAAAGTAGGAGGAAATTTTTCTGTTTATTTCCAACAAGGAAACTTCACGTTTTGTGTGATATTTTTTTTTCTTTGTCCTTGTGCCTTTATTTTTCTTTCATATGATTTATTTGCTGTTTTAAAAATTTAAATCATAAGTATTTCCTTAGAAGCTTGGTTGTTAAATTCGTTAAAATTTACTACGGCATTAGGTTTTAAATAGTAATTATTGTTGAAAAAATAGTAATTATTAATTTGTGATAAGAAATTAATTATCATAATTTAATTTACAGAAATACCTAAATTACCTCAATGCATATGTTAAAATAAATAAATGGAAAAGGACTTTTATTTTTTGGTAAAAAAGAACCTAATATTATTACTAAGAAAGTTTGTTACATAATTTAACTTTACAAGACATGAATTAGTTACTAAATTCATCCTATAGCTAATAGGATTTTTATAATATATAACTAATTCTGTCACTAAGTAGGATTAGCGATGAATTTTATTATTTAAGTACATAATTTATCTATCGCTAATTTTTCTTCTCTCTGTAGTTAACTTGTCTTAGAATACATGGTACCTAGACGACTATTTTAATACGAAATTAATATAAAAGAATGAGATACATAATAACACTAAACTTTCAAGATTATCTTGGTTGTTGTCATGCTTAGATAGGCCATCCGTTACTTTTTTCGACTAAGTAGGCTCAATATTTATCATATTCAAGAGCTTATATTTTTAAAAATCTTATTTCTAAGGGCTTATATTTTTTTTTATAATTTTATATGCATCAATAGAAGGTATGCGCATCAAGCGTATCCTAGCACGAAGCACCTTAGTAAAAATGTCGTTCACCTTTTTTACCCTTTAAAAATAGATGTAATATTGGTTATAATTGTAAATTAATTATTCTACTAATATTTAATACTTTAAAATCAGCTAAATATTGGTCATTAAATCTTTCCTTATTCGAACTACATATATAGAAACTCCTAATTTTTAGGAATTTAAAATCAAATAAAAATTTACTTAGAAACCCTTTCCTTACATAAATTGTGTAAAGTAATTATGACTTTTTCTTATGTGTATTAGACAAAATGTATATAAACGTGTTAGAAATCTACTAATAAAATTTTAGATCTAATTTTAAGTCCTCAAAATTAAAGATTGCTAATAATATGTAAACCAAACTTACACCATACTAGGCCGAGTATGAAAATATATATAAACAAGTTTAATACGATATGCTTACGTTTTGAAAATAATAGTAGTATTTTAATTTAAAGTAATAAGTACTATAACGTACTTTGAGTTAATTATTATTTGAATAAGTTTAATACATATTGAAAATTTATACATATTAAATTACAAATTCATTTACAATACTCGTAAAGTAAAACATAGATAAGATAAATTTATATATTGAAATTAATGAAAATAAATTAGATACATTTAGTCATAAGTAATTTAAAGTAGTAATTAAAAGAGCAAAAATAAAACATAGACAACGAAAGGTATAAATTGATATTCCTTATTGAATTAGCTATATATAATCAATATTTTTTTGTTAAAATAAATTTACACATTTATTTTAATTTAAAAATAATATTTATATAATTTTTTAAAAGTTTTATACTCATTTAGATAGGTTACACGCGCAACACGCGTACCATAAAATTAGTATATGTTAAAACAAAATTCTCCTTTGACCACATCCCCCAAAATTTTCACAAGGATTTCAGAATTTCTACTAACCTCTATTAATAGTTAATACTGCAATAAACAAAAGGCAGTATTAATAAAGGAAACAATAATTTAATGTTCATTAAAGAGAATACATTTCATCTTTAATGAAATGTTAATACAACATTTTGGGATCATTCATATATTTTTTCAATGGATTACATTAGTGAGCAAAACCTATGGGCATAGTAGTAACGGCTTAAACAAACCAATTTGGTAAAAATAGTCAAAGAGAAAAACTAGTCCAATCGTACACCTTTTTTTAATAACCAAGAAATTTCCTAGGGCTAGTGGCGCACTGCTTTATTTCTCAACTATATATTTGTGCTTTTTTTTTTTTTTTTCCAATCAACAACGCCTTGGCATAATAGCCAGGCAACATATCTTGATCCATCGAGCAAGATAAAAAACCATTATTTTTGTGTAAACATATATAATGTGTTTGATTTGCCCCGATAAGGTTTGCATGTTGTGCACATGCTTGATTCTATTGGTCATTGTTGTTGGCTTATTATTCGGATTTAGCGTTTACAAGGATGGTTTTCACAAGCTAAAAGGCACGATTCATGTCGACTATGTTGACAGAAGGCCCTTCTTGGGTTTCCCTTCTCCTCCATCCTATTAGCACTATTTTCTTTCTTTGTTTTTGAACAAAGATTAATTGTCCTACCTTTGTTTTCTTCAATGGAAGAAATATCTGTTAATTGCTAATAGGTGTTACTTTTGGATAGTTCTGTGGTTTGCAGTTTTAGATATGGTTGATTAAAATTGGGCTTGCTAGAGTTGTCAATCCAATTCCTCTGGTGAAACATTCAAAAATAGTCATACTCATTACTATTTAGAAAAAGAGGTCCAAATTTGCTCAATTTTGGCATTTGTTAGATTTTTTATCCATTCATACCATGTCGTTAGCAAATCATCTAGTACTTGTCGTTGCCATTAACGTAGCTTTAACATGAAACAAATGGACTCCACATGTCCAAATTCATCGAGAAAAAGTTCAAATTAATCCCTCTACTTTTAACTATGCTTTAAATTACCTCTGGATTGCTATGTTAGGAGTCGAAACAAAAATTAGACTTTTTCCTTATGGCAAGGTAAGATTAGATCCCCCTACTATCTACACCTTCAGACGCGACAAGAGTATTTATTCCCCCCAAAAAAATGCATTCCCCTTCTCTTCCCGACGATCAGTAATTCTCCTAACAACTCCATTTGCCCATCCGAGATGACAAAGTTGCTAAATTTCAAATAGTACAGGGGCAAAATTGACCCATTACCTATGATTAAGTATGACATTAGGTGCTTCAATCATTCAATGTTGTACTTTGGAAACAAGGAAAAAACTAATACCAAAGATCAACCAACACAGATGAAGGAAGAAAAAGGGACATTTTGAATAGAATAACTTAACAAAATTCCACTAGATGTACAATTACCGCAGGCAGTCAATTAGAACTGTCAAGATATAGAATATGCTGTAACACACTCGAACAAAATTTTGTTAAATGTACATTCGTGTATATAACCCCCAGAAAACAAAGGGCTTAAATATCGGATGAAAATGGAGAAAATTTTTGCCTAAGCAAATCCATTTGGTCTCTCCCCACTTTTGGCAGATCTCTTCTGTATATCTGCATCATAATGGGCAAAGGCAGCATCTAAAGCCTGTAAAGACACGAACTTTTCCATGAGATCGAGTGGATAAACCGAAGTGCAGCAAGAAACAAAATATAACTCCTCCATAGTAAGCACTTCATTCAATTAAAAAGAAGATCGCGGCATCTTCCATCAGGGAATGCCAAAATGCTAAAAGTCCAGCCAAAATAACATTATTGTCTCAAATATCTCAAAAGGGAAACTGGAGAAAAACAAGAGACCTTAGAGAACATAAAATGTCGGCATAACATGGTTGAGAATTAAATTAAGCAAGAGTACGATTATTCAAATGATTTTGCTGCAGGGAGAGTACTCCCATACTCTACTATTAGTGGTCCTGAAGCCAGAAGTTAACCTGAAGCATTGGCTGTACAAGAAGGGAAACTTGATGCCTGAAATCCGATTGCACAGATTCCTTGATCTCCTGAAAGTCAATAGAAAACTTGAAAATTCAAACAAACAAGAAACAACTCCTCAAAAACAATATGCTGAAAGATAGCAAGAATTAAACACTATCAAACTGCACCTACAGGATGGCAATGGAGTTGCTGGGCAGGGAAGCGATTGGCTTCTCATGCATCAGCCCTACCACCAAATATTTCCCAGCACCAGCAGCAAGCACCTGGTTTGCTTTGTAATATCATTTTATTAATTTACTTCATTGTTCTTTTTATTAATCTAAAAAGATTTTAGATTTTTTTTTACCATACAAATACCGGTAGTTCGTTTTTCCATTTGCTTGTTCTCAGTCATTTAATTAACCTGTTATTACTACATCAGTCTTTTCAAATGACGATGAGAGATCATTAATATATTGATAAAAATGATTTCTCGAGAATGTAAAAAAAAGTCATATTCAAAAGATTCATGGAGAGTCAGCTAATCTCAAAACCACAACCACCTCTAAACTTAGAGACATTTTCTTATTGTCACAAGTGACATAGTTCCATGGTGAATTGTTTTGTTTCTAAAATCAACCTAAACAATCTATACCAAAGCCAAGCTAATCTAAATAGCACTATTGATTTATCTTCTGCTTTAGATTATTCACTTTGTACTCAAACATGAAATTGAAAAAATTTGCACGACATATTTTCAATACAGGCCATGCTTTATTTGGTGCATTAGAGATTTAAAGACAAATGAAAAAGAAAAAACGAAAGACATGAAGAACCTGCAATGAAACTGCAAAAGGGGGAAAAAACTAGAAAGTGCATATTTATCCATTTGCAAAAGATTATTACCTGCAACTTGGGGTATATCTGAGACATTGCATCCTTTAATCTAGTCACCTGTCAAAAATGACAAGGATCAAAAGAGGCCAACAGATGGAAATCTTTGTTGAAAATGATTCCATATAAGAAGGAAAAAACATGAACAAAATGACAAAAGTATCATGTTTTTTTCCTTCAAATAATCAAGAAATCCCCGAGGGCCAACAACAACAACAAAATACAGTGTAATTCCACAAGTGGAGTCTGGGAGGGTAGTGTGTACGCAGACCTTACCCCTACCTTCAAGAAGGCAGAGAGGTTGTTTCCGGAAGACCCTCAACTTAGGATAGGTAAAATCCTCAAGGGCCAGTGGTGCACAATTAGAAATTCGATGGATAATGGGCCGCCTCTCTACCCTTTCCACTTAAATAGTACCAGATTTTGTGTGCATCATTGGAGGAAAATTACACAATAAAGTTAATAAATAAGACACTCAAAATTTTGGATATATACCCCTGCTTACATGGAGCTACTAGCTCTCAAGACTAGGCTACAATTAGCCTGTGAAAGAAACTTCTTAAATTTAGAAATCGAAACTGATGCTACGGATATCATTTGCCTAATTGATGGAGATACTTGTTCAATGTATTCTAACTTGGTTACTGAGTGCAGGTCACTACTGAAGAAACTAGAGAATCCGCCGATCAAGCATATCTTCAGGGAAGGAAACAAGGTTGCTCACTTTTTGGCCACCCAGGGATCCAAGCAAGCAAACAATAGCCCGTTGTCTCTTTTGGAACAACCGCCGAGTGCTTTTTTGAAAATAGTCCATGACGACAAGATTGGCTCTACTAAATGTCTAAATCTAGGCTTGTATCTAGTACTGTATTTACTAGCTTAGTTGAACTTGGGAACCCTTTTGTAACTTGCAATCCAAATGTAAACAGCACGGTGGCTGTATCTACTGATGAGCCCAATGGGATGCTAGCTTTATGTAATAGAATTAGTTAATGAATGAAAATTTCGTATTTCTACCAAAAAAAAAAAAGAGAAAAAGTTTGTAAACACTAAATCTTTCTTTTGGACCGTAACGCACATAATTACGCCGGCAAGAAAGAGGTGGTCTAAAACATTGTTGATATTTAAAACGTCAAAATTCAAAAATGTTACCTTGGTGTAGAAATATTTTGCGGTTATTGGATAAGATGACCAGAAGTGCTTCAATAATTCCTGAATTGATGTCCAATGCTAGAAGTAAAATGAAAATTATCAATCGTCATGATTAACAGAATTTTATGAGCGGAATAATAAAGTCTGGTCAAATATTTCAGATCCAGAATAACTTAAATCACCCTGTAAAAACAACTCACGAGTAATAGTTCATCTTTCGTTGCACTAGGCAGCCGATCTAAAACACTCTCATGGGGGTTCTTTCCCAGATGATACTTTGTACTCGAGATATTCTGACTAAGCCCGTTGAGAACCTATTAACAATGATTTAAAGTTCAACTTCTCCATGACAATAGGATAGCATTCAATGGCAATTTCCTAATTTAAAAAAAGTGAAAATACCTTGAGAGCTACTTCTGGACTAATTATTGGTTCGGTCAATCCTTGTGAATTTATCTCGGAGATGGAGTTCTTCAGGGAGCAAAAGGCATCTTCTTTGCTCACATTAAATTTCAGCTGTCTTGTCCCTGTACCACCATCCCCCAAAGCCTTTATTGCATTTGCTTGCTGAGAATCAAAGTAATCCCGAGGATCCTGATTTAGGAAACAATCGATGTATTAGATAATCCAATGAATCATGATTAATGGGAATTCAACAAAACAGAACTGATGAACGCCACACCTTGATACTTAGCAATGCAACTGGTGGCTCATGAGGTCCCTGAAGATCCTCAATTTCAGCAACTCGAGAAACTTTAGCTATCCGTTCTCTATATGCACTCTCATCAGACACTTCGGCAGCTAGTTCAGCTATTCCACCAACGAAATGACTTGTATAAGCCTTTTTTGGCTAGGAAGAATGGACAACTGTATGGAGTAGTAAATACATTTTACCCTGATTTGTCCTGGTGAATGCTTCAGCAACAGATCTTGTGTCACCCAGCTCAACATCTTCCCAGATTGGTGAGACAATAAGAAGGGCAAACATCAAGTCAAATATGAAATAATAGCAACTCAGTTTAAACAAAGGCAGCCAGAACCACTAACCCACTATGTAAGGCTCTCCCTCTCCCTCTCCCTCTCCCAACCCTAAACTGCAGCTATCAAGGACATTCACATAGAAGGCACAACAATGATGCATAACAGAGAACCAGTAGTGCACACATAAAATCTTAATCATTTGCACCCGACATAGAGAAAACTTCAGTCTGCTTCACAATTTGTCTCAGGGAAAGGAGTCTAAAAGAAATTACTCGGAACGGAATGGTGTTAACGATAGAGCTTGTTAAAAAAGAAGCTTACCTATAACTCTTCCTCGAAGAACTACTGCTGCATGCTGGTTGAGGTACTGCGAGAACGACCTCTTGAATGGTTCATACTGTGGTTCCAGAATCTCTTTAGTTTCATCCAGAGGTAGCCCATGATCCTATTTTTTACCATGGCATATGAATATGTTAGCTCCATTTCACTTTTAAGGGGTTATAGCAAAGCAGATACAAGAATAGGAGGTCCTATCCACTACAAATATGTTTTCCAAGGTACACAAGCTATGCAAAACTCAGTGTAACCGGAAGAGGGGATGTTTGGGAAAAAAACATATCGTAAGCAGTATTGTCTCATTAAGAATCCACCATTTCACTGATATCTCTCAGATTTTATATCCACAGACACCATGATCACCACTTTATAACTAGTCGAGAACCTTACTTTTTCTATCAAAGAACATTATGCTTCTTAGTTCAACGCATGGGGAAAAACATGGACAGCAAATCCTATCTAACAAGATGATTAAATAATAAAGTTTTGTTGATGTACCGGGAGATGCATGTAATCGTCACCTTCATCTGCTTCCATGTCCAGAGTTGGATCCACCCTTCTGATCTGAAAAGAATACAACTTCTGTAAAGACTTCTGGAAACACTTCTCCATCCACCTCTCTCAAGGGAAAAGAGAAAGGAAAGAGGGAAACAAGAACACTCGATGGAAGTCCTTTTAGGATGGATGTTGTTAGAAAACAATGAAAACAGTAATCATCTAGTGCACACACCTTCTTACGAGCTTCAAATGCTAACATGTCATCTTGCTTCAAGAAAACCGCAAGCTCCTCATCTTCAGCAGCCTCAGCAGCTGCTGCAACAATATTTTTTGTGCTGTGGAGGTATTCAGCTCTTGAATATTTAGTCCAGAATTCTTTTTCTGACATCTGAGAAAGAGAATATAAGCAAAAGACGCACCATGCAACTGACAAGATTCAGAATTCAAAAATCCAACTTGACTGATAAAAGTACAATGTGAATCATTCTCAGATAATCGCTGTCATCATAGGTGGCTTTGGGTGTTTGTTACCAATTAGTAAAGCAGTTTAGATGGACCTGTAGACGAATTATGATAAGGAAGCAAAGGGGTTATCTTGTCCCACTCCTATATTCGATTGTAATTGGAAAGGTTCACTAAAGCTTCAATCGAAGATGCTTGAATGATCTTAAATTAGGTCAACTTTTGTGGACAAGCTAAGCATGCATATCTGTCTCAGCATGCTTTTGCGCAGGAAAAGCTCACAAGATAATCGGATTGAAATCCAATGAATTGTCTATACCGCTTGCTGACAATACTTTTACCTTGCCCGGAACAAATTTCAAATATGCTTGGCGGACAGCTGGTTTCTCAGCAAAAATCTGAAACATATTCAGCATATGATTAGACAGTATAAAACAGTGTTATAAGTAAAAGCTACCGATACTTCTTTATTATAAAGAACCTTGAAAAAGCTCAGTTGTCAGCTTCTGTCATTTAAATTTCATAACCTAGCCTTCTAATATTACATTTTCACGAACTGTGGGAAGAACATCAGAACTAGAAGAATTAGAAATCTATTACAGCAACTTTTTTTTGAGAACTCCATTACAGCAACTTCAGACAAAGAATGAGGCGTAAAGAGACCCAAAGATGGATTCTTTTTCGTGTATATTTTTGTTAAATTTTGATTACTGAACAGAGAATCTGACTACATCCTAGAGCCAATAAGTAGCGGGGAATGGGCTCTGCAGAACAGAAAGCACTGCACATATCGTACTAGCCTGTTGATATGCCATTTTAATTTTTTTTTAAAGATTTAGCTCTAAAGAAACCAAAGATTGTTAATTAAGTTCTGGAGGCACAAGTATAGAATATTTCTGATGTAAATTTCAGAGAAAAAAATTTATAACCCAAAAATCTGCAAGGGCAATTGGACGTAGTGGATAAATCAGAAATACAGAAAGAAAGCAATTGGGCCAGAGAATGCGACTGGCACGCTTTGAAACTCGGTGGATAATGGGCCTGCCTCTCTAACCCTTCTCCACTTAAAACCAGACTTTTGTCTGCGGTAGGATTCGAACCCCACACATCATGTGTTGCACTCTTACCATTAGACCAGAACCCTAGGGACCAAATTTCTTAAAAATTTAAGACAGATTAAATTCTTGGAGCTAGTTCAACTTTCAACGTTCAAACCCTGAAATCTGACTCATGTATTGTTTAACTTTATTTCTCTAACTTTCTGGCTCAAAGCATATACTCAAAAGTTTCAAGGTCATATTGGCCTTCAGAATTTTCCACATTTCTGTGCATTGCAGAAAATTTTGGAATCTCAGATTCTTTCCCTTCTTGTGGTCAAGTTATGGCTTTAGATAATTAGTGTCAAGAAACAGCCCAGAAAGCTAGCTCCTCTGATGATTTTGCAGTCCTGTTTGGATTGGGAACAAGTTGTGTAAGCTCTTAACCACAGTGATGCTTTGAAGATTCAATCACCAGACCAATTTAAGTAATTGTGCTTAAGCCTGAATTGTACAATGCAAATCCAGCCTTAAGAGATGATGCCTGGAAGTTCTCCTTTTTCTTTTTGGCTGAGAAAGGGTAAATATGGAAGTTCCCTTTTTTACCTCTTCACTTTTTATTCTATGTAACTGTAACTCTTCAAAACTACAATTCAACCACATCTGAAATGGTTTTTGGTTGCCAAATGTTTTTGGGCAACATTTCCAAATACAGAAACCAAACTTATTTGGTTTGCAAAACCTAATTATTTTGGTTTCAAGAATAGAAAACTCAATGGCGGTGGCATTTGAACTTGGCTGTGGTTTAGGTTTTGAAGGATTGGTTTCAAAAATGAGCTTGGCAGCATTTCTCAATTACTTCTGAAGCTAATTATTTACATTTCCAAGGAGGGTGTGAAACTAATGTATTTTAGTTTCCAGAAAGCAACCTAATTTAACTACTTGTGTTTAAAAAAAAGACATAACCCAAACAAAATCCTACCACGCGATTGTTGCTCGAAAACATTCCTAGACAAACACCTTTTTGCGTCATCACAATTCACAAGCCCAGAAAGTGGGAAGCATCAACCTACCTCCGCTCTCTATTGTCAAGTACGGGTTGGCAGCACCCAGCTCAGTATACAGCATTTTTTCTTGCTATTTTGCTGCTCCAGCCTGAACCCTCTAACCCGATAGTTCCAGTATATTTCTCACTTTGACATCTCCTCCTAATCAGATCTAGAAGCCATTTTTTTATAATGACCTAAAAGGAGGAAGTGTCCCATCCTTGACCTACATCGTCTAGACTATGAACAAGAACAACATGCATTGATAGTGACCTTATTCAAGCTGAGTTTCACTTCTTCATACTGTTTGAATAAGAATCAATTTAACCACTTCATAAAACAAATATGGTTACCTGATGAATAACCTCCGGTGTCAAGTTAAATGTAACTCTGTTCGTCTGAAACAGCAATGAAAAAAAGANACAATGAAAAAAAACAGGTTGTCAAGCTTCACGATCAATGAGCACAGAGGTCACCAGTTCAAAGGGGAGCGGGAGAGAAGAGACTGCAGAACACATTTTCGACAATACAATGTTTAAAGCCAAGATATTTGCATTTTTATCTGCTTCTAGTCGTTTATTAGCAAAAGGAGTCAGAAGTTCATTGTAACACTAAGCATCCTTCAGAATTAAGATAAAAAGGACCTGATCAGAATTCAAGAAAATCACTTTTGCTTATACATATCTTGGAATAGAAAATACAGCACCCTATCAAAAAAATGTGAGCCATGTGTTCACACAAATATGGTAACACCCAGACCAGGGAGAGAAGATTTCTCTCTTACCTGACCATCAGATAAAGGTTTAACACTCCACATGTCATTTTTTAAAGCCACCCGTTGTTTTGGCTTCTTGATATCGCCCTGTTCCAGTAGCTTCTGCAATCGATTGGCAAGATAGAATATAGTCAAGTCTATAGGAAGCAGCCGCCAGCTGCTTAGGCGTCTAGGTATATCTCAAAAGTTTTAGCAAGAGTAATGATTTATCATGTTTATAAAAAATAATCTATTTAACAAGGTCTTTCTATCTACTAACCTTCCTAGCGGCCCAAAATTCAGCCTCTGATAGAATACCTCCAATGACCAATTGCCTGTGGAGTTTCTGCAATTCACTGCCACTTATACTTTTTAGTGATATCACAAGAGAAAATAAAAAGGTCAAGATGAAATGCCATTATTAGAAAGAAAAGGAGCAACAAAAATTGCAGATTTTAAGCAAAATGGTAGCAGTTACAAGACACATTTACAACGTTAGCTAGCATCACAAAGGGGTTTTAGAAAAAGCCCCAGTCTTCTGCAACATTGAACCAAAAAGAAAAGAATAAATTCCATTCACCTATTATCCTGCAGTAACTTAATCCGACGTCCCATTTCTGCTGCACTGAGTTGTTCATCATGTGGAACAGCAGGTTTTTCAGAAGCAGCTTTCACAACTTCTCCACAAGCCGCAATTGCAGAGGCTGTTCAAGGGCAACATGTTTGTAAGTACACATAATGTTAAAAATACCAACTGGAACATCCAGGGCAGGGTATCATATAGTAACCACATACTCTTTAATGGACTAGCTGGTGTTGAACCACTCAAATAGTAATACAAACAGTGAAAAAGAAATATTTAAGACTTCCAAGAAGCCATACTCTAATTTTGATACTTCTATCTTATAGACACCGAAGCAAGTTAGACAACAAAGAGTCACTAAACAGAAAACCAAGACTTGGCTCGTATATAATAACTAATGCCAATTATATATACATGGATTAAGCAGCAATTTCTTATATCCTGCAGTGCTCTGATGAAAGGCTCAAATTCAGCACCTAGCCAATTCTGCACTTGCATGCAGGAGCAAAGGACGCGTGGAGGAAAGGGTTGTCCAATACCACGAGAAGGCTGGTCTCAGCCCATCTCTGCCGTTTTACAAATTGTTTTGCATCCTCTTTTTAAACCAAGATCAACTCAATGACTAATGACTTCATTGAGTTCTAATCTAACCTTGCTGGGCTCAAAAGGAAAAGCAGTTGATCTTTTAAAGTGTAATTAATATTAGCCCAAAAGGAAAAGCCATCAGGAAGAAAAATAGAGAAAGCAAACAAACAAACTCAAAATCTCAAAAGAAAACGAATGTCTACATGTTAGTTGTTACTGGCTAACTATCCAGAATAATCAAGTACAAACTCCATACAGCTAGTACGTGAAAACAAAGAGCAAGCAGATTTGGTCACACACCGCAAAAAAGAATCAACAACAAGACCCCCAAAAAACAAAGTCCAGTATATTTCAAGTTTTCACATATTTGAAGCAGAGTGGTCCACTAGTAGCTGGATGATGAAACTGAACGATATGAGTCAATGCATGTCAGAAGACTAACCAACGAATTCTCGACACTTGTCGCGGTCCGGGAAGCTATCAAACTCAAAAATATAACTCCTGCCCTGAAAACGATAGAAAATGGACCATATTTAGTTGCAGTACTCAGATCAGTTAGCAGTTTGTAGACTTCACCAGTACTGGGATGAGTCTACTATTTCTAGACTTCACCAGACGCAGAGAAAACAGTCATACAAGAAAGTGCTCACAAATCAAATTCTTTTGGTAATCATAAATCTGAACCTGATCGTGCATGAGATTAAGAAGAGCCTGCTTACTTGAACCCTCTTTAGAAGACCTGTGGCCTGAAAAGAGAGTTCAGACAGTCAGACAGACAGAGAGAGAGAGAGAGAGAGAGAGAGAGAGAGAGAGAGAGAAGCGAAGAGAGACGTCAAGTGTGGACAGCACATTAGTAATGGATAACACACACAAAATTTATTATTAAAGTAGAGTGGAAAGAGGAATTGCAGCCTAAATATGTATATATAATTAAAAGCCAGAAACAAAATACGATTAAATAACTTCAAGTGACACCACTTGAAACAAATACTGTGTAGCTAAATTGGTCAGACACCTCATTTTTCTAGTGTAGGTCGTTTGTTCGAAGCCTGAAAGGTTCATCTATTATTTCAAAAGTTTTGTGCCTCATTTACACAAAAAAACAAATTGTATTGAGCAAGGGTCGAACTGTTGACCTTCAGTTCTGTAATTTTTTGTGACAATAAATTATTTGTTTCCATGGTTAGTAGTTGTACTATTTTTCCCTTTTTCCTTCCATCTTCTTTATAGCCAATAAAATTGATTAAGAACATTACTTTTAGTGATTATTAGGTACTTTACAACAACAACAACGACCCACTATATTAGGTACTTTATATAGAAAAATAGTATTTAGTATTTTTTTGGTAATTAATTTAGTATTTAGTATTATTTTTAATGAGGCTATTTTGAATACTTTTCAACAAACAAAATTCATCGAAAAGAATTGTAGTAATATATTTGAGTGTGTTTTATTAATATGATTCAAATTGTATTCTTTTTTTTATATGATGTTGTTTGTAGTGTTTTGTTTACTGTACACTTTTAAAGTGTGACACCCCTTTATGAAAAATTCTGCGTACGCCATTTATTGCAGGCAACAGAAAAATCAGAATCAAGGCAAAATATCAAAGAGATACAAGAACTGACAAAGAACCAAAGTCATACGATCGTCTCCTATAAATCAACTACTTTTAATTGACCGAATATTTTGCATCAACTAAGTACTGGGAAAAGAAGTGCTGTCAAAGGGGGGAAAAGGATGGAGAGGAGCACCTTTAATCAACTTGAACTCCACATTAAGCTTTGTCGTGGATGTTGGGTCATTCGGCATGAAGAAAAACCGTTCCTTGGTCTACGCACAATAGAAAAGACAAACTAGCAAATCAACAGTTTGTTGCATCAACAACTGCAGTAGAATCTACCATACAGATCAGATAAAAAATTGAAATTCATAGTTCAAACCATCTTAAAGAGGAATTTATTATTCTGAATCAATAACCCATCAGGTATTGTGTTTTTTTTTTCTTTTTTCGAATTAAAAGCCCACCCAACAAAACCACAAACCAGGAGCCCAACAATGCCTTTTCCCACTTTTGCACCATTGGTGACTCATACCCCGTCCTTGTGGTTGAAGATGGAGGGTCATTATCAATAGACTACCTTACTTGAACAGGATTTGTTCTATAGCCTCGTACCACTGTATCCTTGAATTCAAAGGAGGGTGCTTACCGCTAGGCTATCCCTCTATTGTCAAAATTGCATTTTTTTTTCATGCAAACAAAAGTAACAAGAATGCATCAACCATGCACTAGTTGGAGTCGATTATTTTAATGTTCAATATCCATTCTACTCGTATTTTAATCAGTAAAAGAGATTATGTTAATTCATACAATGAAAGAGATCAACTGTTCTAAGCAGCAATCTGCTGCTAGGTAAAATAAATAGATACCTTTTCGCAAATTTTAGTCACTTATTCCACATATTACTAGAAAAAGATGTTTACCAGTCAGTTACCTGACCAATCACTATTCTCTCTTTTTCACCTCTTTCTACCAGCTCCGTGTATCAGTTGCATTCCTGTTATGTTTATTTTGTTCAACTTATCAACTAGATCTCAGTCCCAGACCAGTTTATGTAGTGATATGAATCTTCTATCAGGTCGGCTCTAGTTGGGATTTCTCTTTTGTTTTCTTTTTATGATGCTGGTGTTCTTGAGAGGACCTTCACATCGACTGTTCCAACGGGTACCTGCTACCTGCTACCAAGGGCGGAGCTAGTGTAGGAGTTAGAGGTTCGGCCAAATCAAGTAACTTTGGTCTAAATCCTGTATTTGTCTTAAGAAATTTTCAATGTACAAATTATTAATTTAGAACCCAGTAACTTAAACGAACTAGAATGTTAAACCTATAAGCTTCAAATCCTAGCTCCGCCTCTGCCTGCTATCTCCCATCACAAGTATGGAGTAACTCTACCCACCAAGGTTTAATCATATGAGAAAAAATCATCTAGTATTTGTCTACTTGGGATTAGGATCATTTATTGTTAGTGCTGCTTTTTTTTAGGGGGGCGGGAATGAGAAATCATTGTTATTTTTTTCCCCTTGTTCATGGCCATAGGAAACAAGTACACAGCTCAGTCATAACGTCCATATGAATACAAGGGGGTTCGGAAGGAAAAAATTACCAATTTCAAAACGCCAGGAACGCCAGGGTCCTTGACTGAAGATTTGTACTTGGCACGCTTAACGACCTTCCCATCGGCCATAATCGAATTGTTCAAAATTTACAGTATTTTCACAACACACATCAAACAAAACAATACAATTTGGGTATATTACGGACTCTATTAGGATCTAATTCAATCATTTGAATTTACAAATGTTCATTTCTCAAAGCTAGGGCAAATGTGAACTCGATGTTTTGGATTGAGATAACAGTGATTTATGGAAACGGAGATCTAGGGCTCCGATGTATGGGTTTTAGAAGAGAGGGGAAAGGCCTACTTTAGTCTTTCTCGGCGCCAACTGGAGAGATCAGTCGGCCTCTGGATGTATAGATTTTACGTGTATATATACTCTCCACTGTGGTAGACGATTCTGGCTTTGTTTGGTTGGTTTAGGGAGGAGCATGTTTGGTTGTTAGATGAATTAATAAAATAATACTAAAATATTTACAAAAAAAATCTATACCAAAATAACTATATTAATACTAAAATATAGTAATAGTTATTAATATTAATAATACGTAGATCAATTCTAAAATACCAAAATGAACTTTTATAATAGTAAACAAATTTTACTATTATTTATAAATTATTTAAACTACTTTTATATTTAATGTGCATTGGTTGACAATGGTGGTTGATCTCGTATGCACTTGTGTGGCCGATACCATTATTAATTAAATATTTATTGAAGAACAAGTTTGATCACATTAACGTATATATATTTAATGAATGTTGTGCTACTTGCTTCAATTACTATTACAAAAGGAGCAATATGACATCCTAATACAAAAAGAGAAATTGTAATTGTAACTTTTAACTTTAGTAACTTTGAGCCTGTGTGGGCGGCCATATAGGAATTGAATTTGGGTGTAATTGGGTGTAATTATACTGTTTGGCCAGGTAATTACGTGGTTAGCATGAAATTTGGTATAATTGGACTCTTCAATTCTTAAGGGAGGAGGTGAGAATTGGTGGTAATTACAATATTGGGTTTTAGTTTCTTTCCTTTTGTTTTTATTTCAATTTATTTTCTTTATAACTTTTTATTTCTATTTTTTTTAATAATTTTTTTTTTTACTTTTTTTAAATTTTAAAATATGTTTTTCTTTGTACATCATGCATATTTTATTTCTCCACCTTTACTTCTTGTGATTCCGTGTAATTTTTTATATTTTCTTTTTATTAATTTTATTGTTCTATTTTTGAAATTACACCTACTAATATTAGAAATAATGAGTCATTAACAAACTAGGCATATAATGAGTAATGCAATTAAAGTGAAATTTCGTTGTTGAATATGGTTATAAACTTATTATGTTTTTATGATCTTAATTTGTAGTAGAACTTACTACTATTATGTTGGAATTTGACAAATGTTAAATTATTTTTTTTTGAATTTTAAAATTGTGTTATATTCATGGTTCCAATTTATTTGTTTTAGTAGTATTGGCTCACATTGTATGTTGTTCATTTTTTAGTTAGAATTGATAGATTAGTTTTGTCAAACATTTGAATAATGTTATGACATTATATTTATAAATATTATTTTATCAAACATGAATTTCATGATGTTCTTACAAAACGTATGTTTTTAGTTTTTGTAAGTATCTAAACTAAATATTATTAATTTGGAAAAAATATATAAATTATTTTTACAATATTAGTTATAAATATACGATTACTAGTTAATGTATATTCACGAAAAAATATACATCTTAAAATATCGATTATAATATCATTTAAAAATTTATAAGCTTATATTTATTATATTAACTTTTAAGTTTTAATAATTACTTTATTTAAAATTTAATTTAATTGTGTAATTATATTTGTGCAACCAAACAGTAAACTTGTAATTATACTATGACAAATAAACAGGTCGTCGTAATTACACAACTGTATAATTAATAGGCTTTATAATTACTACCCTAGTAATTACATCAATTCCAATTACCTGGTGGCTTTCCAAACCCTAGCTAAAGCAACATTTTCACAACCTCTCAAACTCTCTATGAATGGGTTAGGTATAACATTTTTAGAAAAATATGTACATATCTATCTTTGTGTAAAGAACTTATTAATTTGTACGTATAATCAAGGAATTTGCGTGTATAGATTACGTGTTATTATTTTCACACATGTATATGCAGGGGCGGACCTAGATAGAGTGTTGAAAGGTCACAGGACCCCGTTAGCCTCGGCAAAAATCATGTATATATATGGCTGTATGTATACGGAGGACCCCTAATATATTTTTCTTGCCCCCCTTGAACATTAAAGTGGAATGGCGAGGCTAGTTTTTGGACGGCGCTAGTTCCTTTCTTTACCTGTATACCTGGGTTCGAAACCCACTCTACAACTTGATTGTTTGTTTTCTAAATTGTTTTTTTGGTAACGTTTTCTTATAAAAAAAAATCATAGATACTTACCACTCCTTATTTACTAGTCAATTGATTTATAATTTTTCTATAATCTCTTTCTGAATTAGTTTATTTTTATTACGTAATTGTCAATTTAGTCTATTCCTTTTTCGGTCCTTCCNTTAGTACATAATAGTCAATTTATTTTATTTTATTTTCAAATTTCTCACACTCTCTTTGCTTAGAACTTTCTCTTTTTTGAAAAATTTATCTAAGTTGTAATTTTTTATGAATTAGCAAGATATATATTTTCTCAATTCTAATTAGTGATACCTAAACATTTAACTCATATTTTATTAGCTACAATCACACCATGACATTCTATATAAACATTTACATATTAAAATTTAAACCCTTTCCCTTTGCATATGAAAATGCATAGAGTCAAGTATGAGCCCATGTACTTTTATTATATTAGTACCAAATTAATGATATTCGATAATATTAAATTTGTATTATATTGATATGTTATCGTAATCATTTACGTTTTCAAAGAGTTGCCTTTTGTCGCTAGTAATTTGCATATATAAAGTTATGGTGTTCCAGTTGCGCTCAAATCATGGGTCCGCCTCTGTGTATATGCTACGATGATTATGTGTTGGTAAAAGATAGTAGGTACATGATGAATTAGTTGAAGTGCAAGTTAACTCACACATCACCGATATTAGAAAAAGAAGAATTTCATAAATGGTTGCCTATTCCACCACTTAAACTAAGAATAACTAACGTGTGTATATATATAT